TTTGTGAAATTTGTACAGCTAATGTTACAGTTAACAACCGGTGTGAGGGTTATTTAGATAAAATTGGTTCGTGCCTTTTATAGTAATATCAATCCTTTTTTGTCATAAAGGTTTTGTTTTCATTTTTGATCATCATTTAAGGGGTATAACAAAAAAAAGAATACTTTCTTCCGGCAAACAACTTGTCTAATAGAATCTTTGAATAATTTCGTCAACTTCAGTTCTGTTGGTGACTTCAGACAAAATACATCTCATTTTGGGTGTTTTAAAGAAAAAATTGTCTGTGCTCCGGAGAGATTATAAATCTCAAACCCAAGAAAATTGGCAATTAAATTATTGTTTTTAAGAGTCTATGAACGTAGTGATTTAGAGACTTTTATATAGATCGTGATTATTTTTTAAGGGAAAGTTCGAAATTCTCTGTCAACGAAGAACTTAAGAAGACGAAGAACGGACGAAGAACTTAACCTATTGATCCAGTTATCTCCAGTTGAGTTAATTTATATAAATAAATTTCTTCTCTGTTTCCTTGCGTTCATTGACTCTTTTCCATTGTTCGCGGTTTGAATTCTAATTTGATTCTTCAATTCAAATTCAGTTACTTTAAAGGAAGGCGAATAGCAATAGTTTGTGAGAAAAGGTGAATTGTTTTTAGCTCCAAAAAGTATTGAAGTTTTCAGAAATACCAGAAATAAAAGAACTATTTTTTGAAACAATTTTTTCGCTACTTGGATTAGTTTTCTCAGAAAAATTTATCACTAATTAAAATTTCTGGCAATTCGAAGAGCTTCGTGGTGCTATATTTCTTCAAAGTTTTTCTGCTCGAATTTAGTGGCTTATGTCTTGGTCTCTGTTCTCTTGGCTTGTTGGCATTTTTCTGATTCTAATTTTTCAAAATGGAAACCGTTTTTCGGCGTTACGTCATTCGATGTACGGTCTTTTATAATTTGAGGGTCTGAATTTCATCAAGCATGTACTCAAAGTTATTTACGTAGTTTTTAAATGGTTGCTTCAAAAATTCGGCTATTTTTGGGCTTCATTTATCAGGATTAAATCCATTTGATAGATACTTTATTAATTTTCGTTTTTTTTAGTTTTCTTACACCAAATATAGTGATAAATATAATGTTTTGCTCGATCGGCTGCTCAGAACCCTGCTAAGAACTCGCCGGTTCATTTTAAAATAGTCGGATTTCAGTTATTCTAAGGCGTACAAAAAAGCTATGTCCAAATTTTGAAAGATTTTGAAAATTTTCGAGAAGTTAATCAAAGTTTTAGTGTTTTAATTCTTGGATCTTTTTTTTCAAATCAAATCATTGGATTGTGTGCTGCTACTTTTTGTTGTTAAGAGTCAATGACATTAGTGAAGGCTTTAATTTAGTCGTGACATTTTTTTTTTTTTTTTTCAGGAAAAGTCTTTAAAGTCAGGAAAATGTTGAACATGCTCCAATTTTCTTTTCCTCTGTTAAAGCGAGGGCACAGTCAACTATCGAACAGCAAAATTGTTTCAGTCATGAAAAGCGTGATTGACTTATAAGTTATAAAGTAGATTTTAATTTTCAGGTTTCCCAGCGTAACAAAAATTTCACATAATGATCCAGCTTTCTCAAGTTGAGTGACTTTTATTATAAAAATTGTCAATCACAAATTTTACGGGAAGTTCGAAGAGTTTTGAGACGATTTTTTTGTTTTTGAAATTTGAAAGTTGATTGAAACTTTTGCAAAAAATAAGTCAGTTTTTTCTATTTCCTTGCGTTCATTACTCTTTTCCAACATGGCTATGTTCTTCTTTGGTTATATTTTATTTTTCAGGTCTTTGACTTTCTTCTGATCCAGTATTGTCATTTTGGTGATTCCTTAACAATTTTTGTTTTTTCATTTTTGGAATTTAAACACCTACTTAGGCGCAAGATTTTTTGTATTTGAACAAGTCCTCTCTCTAACATACTTTCTCCCCAGTTTATTGACCTTTCCGATTTGATCAACTAGTGGAGCAATTTGGTTCTATGTGTTTTTTCGTTATGATTTTTCAAAATGAGCGTTTTATGGCGTTATGTCATTCGGGCACGGTCTTAAGTATCAGTTAGATAATCTGGATTTCATCAACTATGCAATCTGAGTACGAGAAACCTGGACTTTAAGTATGCAGCTATTATTGCTATAATTTTGGTTAGAATAATTGGATTATTCTAAGGCGTTTAAAGTTTTACTGATTTTGAGGGGGGAGCGCGCGACAAAAAAACGCGATTTTTTGGTCGAAATTTTACAAAAAAGTGCCTAAAAATGCCTTTTTTTGACCTTTTTCCAAAACTTTGCGTGCGGCGCAGAAAATTTGGTTAAATTAGGGTCTTTATAGTGGTTTGTGAGAATTCAGAAAATCAATTTGGTCGGCCTAAAACAATTTTTTTGAAAATCCGCCCCGCCCCCCCCCCCCCCTTCTCGAGAAAATCCTAGATCCGCGCCTGACTCAATGATTCAGTTTTCTCAAATTGAGTTTTGTTTATTTAAAAATTGTCGATCGTTAACTTTTCTTGAAATTCGAAGAATTTTAAGGCCTTATTTTTTTACTTGGAAAAGAGTCAATGAACGGAAAAAAGAAGACAAAAAATACTGACTTCTTTTTGAAAAAAACTCAAAAATGAATTTCAAAGTAAAAAAATAAGGCCTTATTTTTTTACTTTGAAATTCATATTTTGAGTTTTTTTCAAAAAGAAGTCAGTATTTTTTGTCTTCTTTTTTCCGTTCATTGACTCTTTTCCAACTGTCTGTAGACTGAGTTTTTCAAATTATTTGAGTTTATTAAACTTATATAAGTGGCTGTTTACACTTTTAAAAGTTTCTGAAGGTTTCAGTCACATGTTGCTAACTTAGTCACATTTTCTTTGACTCGACTTATTTTATAGTGTTACCTGGATGATGCATTATGCAAGACATGCAGTTTTTGATAAAAGTGACTGATGAAGTCTTTTGTGAATATTATAGTCGTTTTTCATTGTATTTATGACTTTACCATATGTTCTGATTTTTATTTGTTGTTGTATTGTGCAAATGTGAAGAAGTTTTGAGCAAATTGCCAATAGTTTTTTTTCGTTCAAATTTTGACCAGTGACTGCTAAAAAACTGACAAGCTAAAAATAGTGATGATGATTTTTTTTTTTGAGCATATTGCAGTTATTCGGCTTTGTATTTTTGCAGTTTGTTTGCTATGGTACAGATCAGCTGTTATTTTTGTTGAGCTGTGTTGAACTAATTTGGTCGAATGACGAACTGTTTTCGTAATGTTTTTGTGGTAATTTTTGAAAACTAGTTTTGGTGAACGAGAATTACGTCATTTCTGCGTTGGCTTTGTTAGTCCTAGCACCGATGAGTCGTCCAGTTACTAATTTTGTAACAAAATTTACGACAAAAGTTTCTAAGTATGGACAAAATAATCTTGAAGCTATCAGGAGGTGGAGTATTAGGTATGACTTTAGAAGTACAAGTGTGTTCAAAGAAATTTAAGGACGATTTCACTCGTGTTAGTCTATTATACTACTTTAGTGGGATCAAATTAACATCCTCCTCCTACCTAGACCAAATTAAGATTTTTTCTCTCCAAATTATATTTTGGAATCAAATGAATCACTCAAAAAAATTATATTCAATTCTGATTGGCTGAAAACTCCAGCTTAGAACCAAGTTAAATCGCTTTAGGGGGAGCATGTTAACTTGGTCCCCTTAGTCTCCTCGCGGGCTTGGTGTGGCAACGGTTGATGTTAACAGTGCCATACCAAAATACGCATACATCATCATCATCATTTAATTATTTGTACACTCTTCCTTTTACTCAAGAGTGTTGAACATACAATACAGTTAATTGTAATAAATTGTAGTAAATTGTAATTGTTTGAAGAGGTGACGTTTCAGTTGTTTTCGAAAATAAGTGCGGTTGTCAGTGTTTGGAAGGGTGTCAGAAAATCAGAGCAGACCATTCTAGAGCTCTCCTTCCTAAAAGGCTCATTTGCAGAGGACATTTGAGTTTGTTGGCATTAATCGACCTAGTTTTTCTCCAAATAGGACTGGTAATCAGGGCATCTCATTTCGTATAATTTTTCCACGCTCAGGCAATTTGGCCGAAGACACTTCAGTCAACTTGAAATTTGAGACAATTCAGCCAAAAATACACAGACTATTCAGCTATACGTATTTAAGCCCAGAACTTAAACACAATATAGCCAAATGTCTGATTTAACCCTTTTTCAATTTTTGCCGGTTGAAATAATAAGCGGCTACTATTGATTGACGCACACCATACCTCTCGTCCTGAATAGGAACGCAGCAGAGCAGGCGTACTTACTTACCAAGGCCGCTCGACTTGACAACACAGCGTTACATTTTCGGCGGAATTTACTCTGTTTTCTGGATCAGTTTTTGAAAGGCTATAGTCTATGAACCAATTTTTTCAGTGGGACATTACAAATACTTTTTGAGTTTTTACGCCGGTCAAACCTAAATTTGACTCAAATAGGTTCATTTGCTAAACAAAGATAGTCGGTTGCTGAGCAGGAAGCGCAGAAAGTTCAGACCGAGTTGTTTTTTTTTGAACTTGTGTTGTTTTGTCTGGTGTGATGAGATACGTTCGAACTGAAGTTTAAAACTTAAGCATATTCAAAAGTAATAGTAATTTTGGCATCTTTGACAACAGTTTTTGTCAAAAAAAAAGAAAAAAGTTGTGGACAAACCGTGATAGGGAAGCTCAGCCCCAGACTAAGCATCTTTTCACGTCTGTCAATCATTTATGCTCCAGTTATATTACATTGGTCGGCCAGTTTTTACTTTTATGCTAAAAGGTTGGTCTGCTAAAAAAACGGCCCTCCAATTCGTAATAATTATCATCAGACCAAAAGAGCTCAACTTGTTTTCTGTTCAATTCGGACCCTAAAACACCTGATTGATTACATGGAAGTGAAATTTCAATGCCCTGCGATAGGTCTTTCTCTGACTAGGGTGAAAAAAATGTATTTAATCAAAATAATAAATTAGATCGAGCAAATTAGATGGACGGCAAGTGAAAACATTTATAGAAAATTAAATATTATGGGTTGAAAATACAAATATTGTCTAAAATAAATTAACGTTGAAATATAAAAATATATTTGACACACATGGATGGTCAGATTAACAGCTCCGTAACTATTCAATAGCAGTAGACTCTGTGTAATCTCAAATCCACTGTAGCTTCCTTACAAAAGTTGATATGACTGATATCGATCATATTGATTTTCTTGAAATGTCACGATTTTAGTGTAAGCTAATAAGTTAACAACGTATAAACATTTAATACCATGTCAACGTTTAGCAGCATATGATTAGCATAAAATTGGCAGCAGAACTATAAGAGAGTCCGTTCAAAAATTCAAATCAATCATGATCAGCTTTTTCAGAACTCAAAGAGAAAATCTGTTCTCCAAATTTGGATGATGTCTCATTGGACTATTCTGGATCATGGAGCTACTTCTAGCCATAGCTGAATTGCTGTTTCCAGATGTGGCACCTGGAACTTGTTGATAGTTGAAGAACTTACTCGGGGCATTAGTCGATGCAAACGAAATGTCATTCCCGGAGAAAATTGATTCACAAGTTGTTATGTAATTAGCAGACGTAACATTGGTACTTGCCAACTGAAATGTCATTAAGTCATTTACACTTTGGCTATTTGCGATCGCACTATTGTCACAATCCATTTCAGAATCTTCCGTGAAACTGATGCCAAACAGGTTTTGCTGATCTGCACTCGAATCGACTGATGTTACGCTATTGGAAGTGGATTTTCTTCGTCGGCTTTTGTCCTTCGGTTTTTTGAAGTGTATCTTTTCATGTCGTTTTTTCTCGTCACTTCGTGCAAATGATTTCTCACAGTGTGAACATTTGAATGGTTTTTCACCGGTATGGGTACGCATGTGAGTCGTCAAGTGGTCGGATCTAGTGAACTTTCGGAAACAAATTTTGCACTCGTAAGGTTTCGTGCCAGTGTGAATCCTGGTATGTCGGTTTAACTCGTCGCTTCGGCTGAATCTTCGGTTGCACTCTGCAATAATACATTTATATGGCCGGTCTTGTTCGGGAACTTTCGTGACTCGATTCGCAGGTTTTCTTGGTTTTATCAAGTAGATTCGTTCTGCGGACGCGATCTGACTTAGAGCTTGTCGATATGGCGAACTGACTTCCGCAGTTGTGATTGGACCGCCAGTTTCAGAAAAAATTCTGAAAGTTTGCGGTTGCAGATTGTTGTCGGGAGCCGAAGAGTTAGTCGTATCGGAAACATCGGAACTGCATTGTGGACTGGGAGTCGTGTTTAAACTGGACGAGTAAGATCCCTGAACGCTTTGAGATGTGCCCTGATAGAAAGTTGAGAACGTTTGGGTCACTGGTATAACCCCACTGAAACTATTCCGAGTGCTAACAATAGTTGCGTCCATGTCGGGTTTAACAATGGTATCACTCCATAAATGGAAATTATTCGAATTCGATGACGTAGTAATAATATTTGATGATGACAAAATTGCATTTTGACTGCTGGGATTATTGTAGAAAACGTGAGCCAGACTTTTACTTCGCTGGCGCTGTAACATATTCTCAGCTGATAAACCAGCTTGATGTTGTCCAGTTGTGAAAGTTGTCGGTAAAGAAGTGGAAGCTGAGGCGGTTTCTTCGAAAGACGAAGAACGGCTCACAGAACTGCCAATGCAATAAGTTGATGATGTATTTGCATAGTTAGATTGACTTGATGTGGAACAAATGCTCTGCTGAGGTGGCTGGTTGAAAAGTGCATTTTTCTCCTTTTCCTCAGTTTGAGACGCAAGTTGCTTGAAAGAATCGTAGATTGCAAGAACTTCAGGGGAATCCACATCACATAGTGTAGAAGTGCTGTTCCGCACTGCTCTTTTATCCCGATTTTCAACGGTTTTTCCACTTTCGTTTAACTGCAAAGCGGGAAAACTTTCTTTCGAGGTACTCCGTCGAGCTTCTTCAGGTTCCATGGCCGCGTAGCTTTTGGGAAAAAAAACATTTCCCTGGAAAACATTAGTTGAGTCTGGTTCATTTTTCAAATGAAGATCGTCGATGAAATTATTGTCAATATTTTGTACAGAAAATTGCGGGCTAATGTCTTTTGAGCTTTCAGGGTGATATTCGAAACCTGCCGGTGGTAAAGATATGTTAGTAATGGGCTCGGCGCAGGACAAGTTCGAAGAACTATAGCTGAGTTGGGGTTGTTGATTGAAGAAAGAATTTTGACAAATTACAGTTTGCTGAACTGTTGAATCAAAAGTGAAATGACGGCTTTGAGATGATTGCGGGTTTCGAGTAAGAAGCGAAGTATTTTGATCGTCTGTCGACAAGTCTATTGGAACTGGAGTCCTAGAAGAATATGATGAATAATTCAAGTTAGGAGTTGAAATCTTGTTAGTTGGGGTAGGCGTGCCAAGAACGTTCGGATCGAATAATTCGATGTCGTTTAGGGAATCCAAAGACCCGTAATTCGACTGTAAAAAGTTGTCCATGCTGCTTGGATAGAAAAGGTTAGATGTAATGATATCTACCATTCTTCATAAGAAGGGTAACTTTGAAAAGTTCAAGTTCTAGGCGCTGTTTTGAGATGTACAGTCCCCTTTCTCAAAAAACGAGAAAACGAGAGAAGTCGTGAATAAAAGATCGTATTTTTTCGTCAATGGAACCGACTTAGTTCGGCGTTCGTTTGTTAAAAGACTGACTGAATGAATTTTCTCTACTAGTTCTTCGTTTGACGAGCAAGGCAATCGCGGTTTAAATTCAACCAAAAAAGGAATGATTTTGGCCATATACGGCGCTCTTTTTATATACTTGTACTCTCTCGGGGTTAACTGTTATCGTTACTATCTGAATGTGAATACTATTTCCGTTCGGTAATGTAACTGCTTTCGTCACAACATTTTGCCTTCGTCATAGTATTGAAGAGCGTTTTAATATTTTTATAAATTCCTTGTCTCGATTCGTCACAAAATTCTTCTAGTTCGTTATGCCTTTACAAGGCAATTCGTCTTCGTGAAAATATGAAGTTACTATCAATTGCATAACCACCAGAATCAAACGTATGACGAATTCGAGTCTGAGGAATAATAATACACTTGTTTTATTTTTATCAGTTCATTATACATTGAATCTATTCATGTGCGACTGAATGAAAATAGTAATTTAGAGAATACTACTTTGTCGCCAAGTGAATACACGCGACTCGCGGTCTAGAAGATATAACTTTTCCCGTTCCCGATTCCCATGACCTGCTGAATTTTTTTAAACGATTTCTATATTTGGAGAAAAACGGGATCCCTTAAAAAACAGTCGCGTCTCAGTCAACCGCCATGTTAACGCAGCTCATTATTTCTATTTTGTAATTTTTATTTTAAAAGCATCGCGATGCAAGTAATAAATTTACACTACTGCACCTGGGATTATTTAGTTTTCTTTTGCCTTGATTTACTGCCAAATATGGAAAGAAACAGTCTACAATTTCACTAATGGAAGCGTTTGGATCGTATATTGTGAATTCCATGGATAATATTTCTCAAATACCCATTGGAATTCAGATGGCATGTTATCAAGTATGTCGACAACATAATTCCAGTGAGATAAATCGTAGAAACCTGACATCAACGAACGAATACCTTACGTATCCGCATCAGCAAATGAGGAAAAAAGCGAAGGTATCCATCCGACTGGCAACGAATCTCGATAATCATTCTCAATCTATGTTACATTAGTCGAAACAAAACTTTAGCCTTAAAACCGACTTGGATCAATTGCGTTGCGATAGAAGGGTCTCTGCAAAAACCGATATAAGTATGATAGCCTTGAGCTTAGGAATATTAAGGGTCAAGTCCCTAATGCAAGCTAGAGGCTCGACGTTATTCCATTTATCATTTCGATGTCACCTAAAGCGTCAAGTACGTTCCCACTTAGGTAAGGTTAATAAATTTCATTACAGTACGCCCGGAAGGGGTCGACTTTTTAGCAGACCGAACTTAACCATAGAACTTTGAATAAAACGAAAAATTTGTTGTATATATGCACGATAAGTACAGCATAAGTTTATTAAACTGCTTGCTATACTTCATTTTCTGTTAATGATGAATTCGATTTTGTTCAAAAATCATTTAGCCTAGCGGAACGTCTACAATTGATTACTTAAAGTTTTCAATCATTCGGACCCTCCATCATGAGAGAACCCCCTATTGTGGTGTGGTAAAAGGTCGGTCTGGTCAAAAAACCTATCCACGCCCGGTAAGTATGCTATTTTAAATCGAAGTGCGTGTTGCTGAAAACGAATACACAGACGGGTAATAATTTCAGCAGTCATACTGCGATAATCAGTCATCAGTTTGTCTGCCATACTAGCTTCTTCAACGCAATGCTATGAGTTTATGGCGTCAATGGGGTCTTCTGATATAATTCTTGTTGCCAGAGTGCCAAAAGTGTACGAGATGATAACTGGTATACAATTTCAGTGCAAATTTTTCAGATGGGATAAACTCTTCGAAAACCTGGAGCTTTCTGATAATGTGAGGGCAGTGTATCGACCAGCATAAAGCTCGACTGGCATAAAAAATTTTAAAATGAAAATCGTATCGACTAGCATAGAAATCGAAACATAGTCAAAATTCAAACATCGTCAAAAAACATAAATCACAGTTTTTCCACACTTTTCAATCGGTGTTCTGTTCAAGCCGGGGCAGGGGCGGATCTAGGATTTTCTCCAGAGGGAAATAATTTTCAAAAAACAGGCCACGAAAGGTGTTTAAAAGGATTTCTGAAAAAGGAATTCTTAAATTACTATCAAAGGGGGGCCCTTTGGGTCGGCAAGGGATCGAATCCTTGAGGGGGGAGGGGTGGGTGACTGTACGCCCCCTAACACCGCCTCCCAAATCCGCCCCAAAGCTACCAGAAATTTATGGGACAAGGAATTTCATTTGCTTGTTGATATTTTTCCATTTCTCAGAAATGCAAGCTTCAGTTTGACAGGATTCTTAGTCGTTTTGTGTTTCTGAGAAACATGAAACATAGCTATATGAAATTTTTATGCTAGTCGGGCGGTCACCAATATGAGGACTAAACAAACTATTCAAATTTAATTTAAATGAAAATAGTTACAAAAAGTCTCGCCTTAATTGAGACGCAATGAAAATGTCGAATGCCAGCTGCTTCCTTGTTTAGTGGTAAATGAACGAGAAAATCTGATGACGCCATTTATTAAAAAACATCAGCAACTTACAAACGTGAAACTTTTGATTTTTGATCTAAGTTTCTCTAAAATTTATTTAACAGAAAAGGACGCCATGAGTTAAATTAAAATAGAACTGAAAGTTACGCAAAAGATGCACTTTTCCTCAATTCTCACTCATGTTCGTCAAGTTTGAGAACTGGCGTTTTTGAGTCGCGCAAAAAGCTGGCATTATTTGCGAAGCAAAGACAATCAAGATGGCTTGTATCAGGGCTAAACCTTGAAAATTTTGGCCGCACTATAAGCTATCTGACTAGGTTCTGTTTCGAAAACTATAAATTTTACAATAAAAAAATATATTTTTCCCGCTTATGCAATGTCAGCTCCAAAGAAAAATGGTTCTCCTTGGTTATGATTTTTAAGCTTCAATGGTTTGCATGCATGATTTTCGGAGTGTTCAAAAGTCCGGCTAAATAAAAGGTAAAAACTTGCTTTGTCAGAAAAAAAAACACCCGAGCACAAATATTTGTCACTTTCTTCGAAAGTCGGAACAACTAACAAACAGTTGAAATCAGTTTTTTATTCAATTTTTTTTAAATGAGCTTGAAATGAAACACCAAAATCATCATGTGACATGTCAGTTTCAAACTTATTGAGTTCAGCTTCAGAATATAATTAAATTATTAAAAACTATTAAATTCGTACTATTTCAGCAGTATTTATTCGAAAACTTGAATCTTCCAGTCGAAAAGCGGGAATTCAAAATTATAGTAAACATGCAATTACTTGAGAATACAAACTGGTCATTGGTCGAAAAAATGTCTTATTAGAGACAAAAATAGCGGAAAGCTACCAAAACAAACAGTAACTGTAGCTGCATTTTTGCTGTTTTGTAGTTGCTTAATTCAGTAGATAGGGACAAGAAAGAAAAACACATTGAGTATTGTGGATAAGAGGAAAATATGCTGCTATCCATTTAACAAACTAAAAAACTTAAAAAACAATCATTAAGTCTCCTATTTACGAAGGTTCTTACACTTTCGAACTTAATTGAGCATAGTGTAATATAACGACTAAGTTTTTCCTTTTTTTCTCTACACTTGCGCACTTTAGTAAGCGTAGTGAAATAGAACGACTTCTTTTTTCTGACCGAAGTTGCAAATTTTGGTTCCAGTCCGTAACGCCTTTTTGATAGCATGTGCATTGACGTTTGATTAATAAGAAGTTAAGACAGTTGATGCCTTTTTAAATCATCGATTGAACCAAAAAAGAGCGGAAACATCGAACATTAACAAATAAAAACAAGAATAGCCAGTTGCCGTGCAAGTAGCGCAAAATATTTGGAAAAAAAAACTTAAAAAAAAAACTTTTTTAACCTTCAAATTAGCGTTTTTTCTGCGTGGTGTGAATATAGAACTAGACACTTTTTTTTACCTTCAAATTAGCGTTTTTTTCTGCGTGGTGTGAATATAGAACTATACAAACGCGTATAAAGTTACTGTATCAGGCAAAAAATAACAATTTTTTTCAGAAAATTAAACAAAAAAATGAAAAAAAAAAATCCAACAAAAAAATTAAAATTGTATGAAAACTTTTATGGCTAAGAAAGTGCATAACGAAGCTTCCAGAGGTGGTTTTCTATTTTGTAAGTTAAAAGTTTTTTTTAGCCTAAATGGCCAATATTTTGATATTTTTACTCGCTCAAAATTGATTGAGATGAAATAACAAAAATGGAAACTCGCGGATCATAGTACGTTTCCGGCTAACGGAGAACGTCAACTTTAACACTTTTACCTACTGAATTACATGCAGTAAGATTAAAGCCAATGAGATGTACGTAGCTTGGTAATAATTAATAAATGAGTAGAAAAATAAAAAAGGATCCTTTTTAAAATATTTCGAGTCCGTAAAGAATTGGTCCTTCATATGCCAGAAAATAATGGTAAAACAAAATCAGCAAACCCGCCTTACTCAAATCGGAACTAACAAAGCTATTTTCCAAGAATTCAGAGGTTGGATACAAGAGATTATTTGACACGGGCATGCAAAAATTCGGTCCCTCGGACCCACTGGTGATAAAATTTCCCGGAAGTGCTAATGACCCTTTTGGAACTCGGTTTATTGGGGTGGAATGGCATCAAAAACTATAATCATATAGACCTAATTGAGGGAAGCTCAAGTTTAGAATCCTAGGCCCCTTTGGCCTCTACTTCCGTTGTTATGCCCTAAGCAAATAGTCCCCCACCCAAAACTCCGGAAGTCATTTCGTGGCTCTAAGTGAACGCAGGGAGTCAAAACCTTGAGATACAATGGGTAGTGGCAAGAGACATCATGTATTGCAATTTGAAGGATTGGAAGTTAACATCTTTTGAGAAAAATACACCTTTCACCGGAAATAGGGGAGTTACGCAAGTTATTAAATTTTTTGCGGCAATAGACACTAACTCTAAAAAATAACCCGATTAATTGAAACCTCGCCGGCGACTCCTGTCGG